AGGAAGACTGGCCCTGGGCTAACATCCGTGCCCATCTTCCTCCACTTTTTATATGGGACACCATCACAGCATGGCCTGACAAGCGGTGCATCGGTGCGTGCCCGGGGTCCGAACCCTGGCTGGGCTGCCAGCAGCGGAGCCCACGCACTTAACCACTATGCCACGGGGCGTCCCCTGGGGGCTCCAGAATCTTAACAAGGGCTCTGAGACTGGTTTCCCCGGGCTGAGGCTGATCCAGAGGGTCTAGGTGGGTGGGGAGCATGAGAGCTAGATAGGCTGTTCCTAGAACTGGGTCTGGAGTCTTAAGATCTGGGTCCGATTTAGAGTCTGGAAGATCCCAAGATGAGTATGGGAGCACTGGGATCTGATAATCTGGGGTGGTGGGGAGAGGGGGAAGGCTGGAAGGACCGCCTTAGGTTCTGGGGGCTCCAAGGGGAGGGGGTTTATGTCTCCCCATCCCCAAGCTAGGTTTGGCCACTCCAGAGTTGGTGGGCCCTCCTTGGGAAGTGCAGCTGTGGGTGGGTAGGCAGGTGTGGGGTTCAGGAGGGTTCCGGAGGGTGTTCCCAGAATGGAGGCTGGGGGGTTGGGTCAGCTTCTGAGCGTGGGAATCCCAGAGTTGGGTCTGAGAGATCCAAGGAGCACGGACTTGGGGGAGGGGGTGCGGGCGAGGAGAAGGGGGACCTCCAGGACTAACCAGGACTCCCAATTTGGGTCAGGGACTCAGGGGTCTGGACAAGCCCTGAGGCCTGGGTGCTGGGTCCGGAGCTGCAGCCTGGCGCGCGGCCGGGCGGGCGGGCCCCTGCCGCAGAGCGCGGAGATGGAGCCGGACCAGTGGCCGAGGAGCCGGGCGGTCCTCCAGGCGCGGGTAGGCGTCGGCGGAGACCTCGCGCGTCTTGCCGGCCGTGCGGCGTTGGGACCACGGGGTGAGCTCGCGGCGCTGGGCCGCCACAGGCGAGGAGGCCGTGTTCGCCCAGCCGGAGGGCAGGAAGGGCAGGTGGGCGCCCGCGCAGCAGTGCTCGTAGCCGGGGTCGCTCTCGTCGTAGAGGCTGGCGCACGCGCGCGGCTCGTCTGCGCTCTTGAGGTCGCCGGGCACCGGGCAGGCGCCTCGGACGCCGGAGACGGCCGCCAGGACCAGGGCCAGCAGCAGCGGGCACAGCGGGGACATGGCGACACTGCGGGGCCGCGCCCCCGCGCTCTTACGCGCCTGACCCGTGGGAACCGAGAAGCTGCGAGATACGAGGAAAGGGGAGGGCGCCCCCTCCCCCAGGAGCAGGGAGACCTTCCTAACCAAGGAAACCCACAAGGATGAATACAAGATGGACATATTTGTATAAAATTTACCTTAAGATTTTATGTGGCAAACAGCATTATAAAGAAAGCCAATTACAAGACTCGAGGACCAGTCGCTTGCAATACAGAGGATGGCATAGGGCTAATAGCTATAGGTAGGAAGAATGCTTAAAAATTGGCAAGGAGTGGAACCCCAATTCCAAATAAGCAGAGGCTTATAGAATAGAGGGGGGCTGCACCTCCAGGCTGGGCGGGTCCCCTTGCCTAGAGGCAGGACCTTGCGAAAGTAGAAGCTGGAGATAAGGAGAAAGGGGCCCTGGAGGGAAAGGGAGAGGCGGGGAGGAGATGGGGAGAGAGCTCCCCTCCCCCATGCCCCCTGAGGAGTGGGAGATCTTCCTAACCAGGGTTGGAAACCCAGAATCTGGGAAACATGAGATAAACATATTTGCTTAATACTTAAAAAATGTTGCAAGGCAATGTACAAAAGGCTTGGGGAAAACTTTGCAACACTTGGAACAGCATAGAGTTAATAACTATAATATATAAAGAGTGCTTACAAATTAACAAGAAGACATCAAACAACCCCCCCCCCACTCCAAGAAGGACAAGCCTGGGAGGGGGAGAGGGAGAGAAGAAGAGGCTGCCCCCCCGCCCCCCCCAGACTCCCACTCCCCAGGAGCCAGATTTTCTTAACCAAGGTTGGAAATTTTGAATCTATGAAATAAACAGAGGACCTGTATAAAACCTGTTGAACTGTATAAAACTTAAACCTTTTGTATAGCAACAAACACATAAACAAAAACCTAACCTGGGGAAAAATAGGAAATTCTTGTAATATACAATGAGTGCTCACCGATCACCAAGCAGAAATGACACACGTCAAGGGAAAAATTAAGGAGCAGCACAGGAAGGGGAGGGAACGGGGACTTCAGGGGAGGACAGGGCCCCGGGCACCTGGGAGCCTGGCCAAGGCCCTTCACAGGTTCTTTGGAATCTCTGGCCTCCTGCCAGAAGAGAACAGGGTCAAGAGTGTGGATGAGCTGATCAGACAGACAATGGTTCAAGTCTGTGGCTCTGTGGGTGAGTCCAAGTCTAGGCCTCAGTTTCCTC